TTTCCTGTGAGGTTGTGATGATCATCAACTTCATCTCCTCTCTCTATTTAGATCAAATCGGACAAAATCTTTACAGGGGAGGTGATTTACAAGCTAGAGGGAGCGGGGGTGGACCAGGAGCCCAAAAATCTGTTTGAAATTGATGATATAACAGGAGTCATCAGGAGCAAGCGGCCGCTGGACCGAGAGACTTACAACAGCTTCACGGTGAGAGAGCATTTATTGCTGGAACATTTTAAATAGCCCAGAAATGTGTTTCCAAGCACTATCAGAAATAAGTACTTAACACAATCCACAGTGCCTAAAACAAGACCTCTGGCAATATGTTTCTGATGTTAGGTCCATGTTTTTGTCTTAAAGCATATGTCTCAGACTCTGGTATAAACAGCCAGAGGTCAGTTTCCAAGGGCCTTTATGGGCATCTTGGGAGACACTTCAGAGTGTTTGAGACCAGATGACTGTGATGTAACCTCTGATGCTGAACCAAACATCCTGCACATTTTTTTCTGCCATTTCCATCATATGCCGTGCAAAAAATACCCTCTGTCACCATAAGTGTTTGATGTTTTTCTGGTTTTGAATAGTAAAAAAAACAACCAACCAAAGATTTTTTCTTTTTTTTAATACTCTTTTTATTGTCATTTTTGTAAACATAAAGACATAACATACATACAAAGTCAAAGTCAACTTTATTGTCAATCTTTCAGTTTGTGTGTACAGACAGAGAGATCGAAATATTGTTTCCCACATTCTGTATAAAAATATGTATAAAATATGTATATCCCATATATACATACACAATCAACATACAACATACACCCGCATAGATCTCTCCATGGGCGACTAATCTCACCTTAATCATGTAGCAAGATATCTATATATATATATCAGCTTACATACCAATTCCTTAAATAAAAGCACAGAGAGAAAATTATTAAGAATTATAAATTATAAACATAATGGCCTGAGGTGTGGCCTCATTACAATGAGAAACATCAAAGAGAAGGGAAAGAAAACAAAAAAGATAATAATAATAATGATAACAACTAAATATTTGTTTATGAACTCTAACATGTGTATGTTGTATTTGTGTGTCTGTGCAGCTGAAAGCCTTTGCACTGTCTCCCAGTGGAGAGAGACTAGAGAATCCGTCCACCATAGAGATCGTGGTGCTGGATCAGAACGACAACAGACCCGTCTTCACCCAGAAAGAATTCAGCGGCACTGTCCCTGAATTCTCCGTCCCAGGTACGTCCATGTATTACATACTGGGTATCACATACTGTTAAAAATATATACAAAAATACATAATTCATACCAACTGATGCTATTGATTATTTCTGACAGGCACCTTGGTGATGTCAGTGACCGCCACTGATAAAGATGACCCTATGACAGAAAACGCTTACCTGAGCTACTCTATCATTGGCCAGGAGAGCTTTCCTGCCAACGCTGTAGACAAAACAATGTTTGGTATCAACAACGAGACAGGAGCCATTTACACAAGAGACGTAGGCCTGGACCTGGAGGTAAAATGAAAATCAATATGCACATTTTTTTGCAGATCAATTTAGTATAGTTGATTTGACTAATGTGTCGTATCCTGTTCTAGGTGGTAAAAAGTTTCAGGTTGAAACTGCAGGTTGCTGATATGGGAGGCATGGGATTAGCGAGTGAAAGTGTGGCGATCATACATGTCACTGATATCAACAACCACGCCCCACAGTTCAGCCCTGCCACTGTGAGTCTCATTCAACTTTACATAAGGCATATTTTCAATCGTTATTTAGAAAAAACTTCTGTCAAATTGTTAGATATTTAATCTTTTGGTCTGTGCTTTGTGTGTGGTCCATGTAGTACAGCATGCTATCAGTGGAGAACAGGAAGGACAATGAGATCGGCCGGGTGAACGTGACAGACAGAGATGATCGTGGAACAGCAAACTGGGAGGCCAAGTACTTTATTTCCAATGACCCTGAAGGCAACTTTGCCATCACTACGGATCCTGCAACCAACGAAGGAGTTCTGACCGTGGTGAAGGTACAATGTGCTGATCTGCTGTTGACTGAAAGAGTGTGAGGGTTGGGGGGGGCTTCGGCCACATTTTTCAAGCAAGAAAAGTCCAATTGACGAATGTATGTGGATGAACAAATGATTTCTACCGGGTTTGTTCCTAACCCATACAATTCCAGGTTTACCCTGCTGTAAAATAATTGTTACAAGTAGTTTCAAGGCTATCGTAAAAACAACATCAATTAAGGAAAAGTGGAGAAAAAAATTACAGGACTCATTAAATACATTTGTTTTAAAAGACCATACACAATAGAAGCTGTTTTAAAGAGCTCAGTAAATAACCCTGCATGATTGTGACACCAATCAGGTTAGATTCATGCTTTCATGGGTTTGTAAGTAAACTTATCATTTACCTACAGTTACTGTCAAAGGATGGGTCTTGCTGTGTGCAATATGTACATTGGAAATGTAATATGAATATTACTTGTAAATTGAAATAACTTACATATTATGTGCATGCCCTGTTTCATTAATTTTTTTGTCTCTATCTTCACTTTTGCTGTAAAAATGTAATTGGGATGAAAGGTATTCTGATTCTAAAACATTACTATGAATTGATTAGGAAATCATTAGAAATAGAGAGACCCGAAACCAACATATTGGCAGTAAATGTAAAATTGTATTCAAACCACAAAGGAGAGCATGTGAACCTTTTGACAAAAATATAAACATTGCTAAGTGTAACAAGATCTTTAGGTGACAACGAGTTATTTCCGTGCTCCAGGAGTTTTAAGTTACTGATTTAAAAGAACACCATTCACACAACATCAGACATGCCTTTACATCCCAGTAACTTTTACCCATACATTTTTCTATATTCTATCAACAAAAACCTTTTTCTCTTCGGTACAGGAATAGTTGAGTAGCTTTGCCCTTTAAAGTCAAACGTGCATTAAGGCCCTCAGACACAACTCAACACCACTCTCTAGTGGCTGAAGTTTAGATTACAAGTACTTAACTTTTCTTATCTGTATGAATGTTAATGAATAAAATGTGAGCCTTTGTTATCCATATAGATTTGTCATGCATTTGTTATTATGCAACCACCAGGCAGTGCAAGTGTTCCTCCCTGTAACAGCCTCTCTGCGTTGTTTTTTTTATCCTGCAGCCTCTGGATTATGAAGCACAGCATGAGCACGTCTTATTGCTGAAGGTGGAAAATGTCAATCCTCTGAGCATCAAGGCTCCCAGCGTCCCAGTGAGCGGCGCTTCAGTGTTTGTAACGGTGGTGAACGAGAATGAAGCTCCACGTTTCAGGGAGGACCCCATACAGCTGGTTGTCCCTGAGTCTGTGGTCCCTGGGACTTTACTGACCAGCCACATCGCCTCGGACCCTGATAATTCTGACCTGAGGTACGATGCAGCCACAGAGCAAGAGGAGCATTTGTTTGTTTTTAAGAATGTGAGTTAACTAATTGGACAGTTTGTTTTTTCTGTAACTTTTGCTCTGCTCTCTGTTTCAGGTATGAGATTAGTCGAGATCCTGAGAAGTGGCTGGACATCGACAGAGATACAGGCGAAATCTATGCCAAGAGAACGTTCAACATGCGATCTCCAAATGTTAAAAACAATATCTACAATGTTATTGTCAAAGTTACAGGTCAGTTCATCAACACAACAGATACAAATGTTGGCTAATAGATATCACCCACAAAATTGTATTAGGAATATTGTTTACACATATTACCATTTAGCTGAAATTGTATGTTTATGCAAATGAGGATGTGTGAACAAGGCCATCTGTACAAATCTTTTTAATTTAGATGGAAATAAATTGGAAAGTATTGTGTATGTAAGTGCTACTGAAGACATTTAATGCTTAGAGAAAAAATAAAACATTTGAGAAAATGGCCTTTAAACATTATGTTTGGTGTTGGCACTGCAGATGGGATCATAAAACTTTTCAAGTTAATTACTAGCATTAAGCCAACATTTTATTGTAAAACTATTTTTTGAAATGTTTGTGTTCAAATATGCAAATGAGCATTAAGGGATACTGAAAGGGCAATTTGAAAGAGATATTTCTTAAGATGTTAACAGATATTTTCTTTCCACGTGTCTGAAAGAATGCATGTTATAGCAGCAGAGGTGGGAAGTAACTAAGTACATTTACTGAAGTACTTTACTTAGGTCCAATTGTACTTATATTTTTACTTGAGTATTTCCAAGTTATGCTAATTTGCACTTCTACTCCACTACTTATTTATTTAATACCTTAAATTACTTTACAGATTTGGATTAATGATGCCAAATATAAATAAATCAGACTTTAGTTACACCTGGAGTAAATTCACAATCTACCCTGCAGTAAACAAAGTCATTCAAACTAGCTGCACCTTTGATAACACTTTAATGCATCAATAATTATAATCAAAACATATAATAAATAATATTCTGAACTACTTTTACTCAAGTTCAAAATCTGAGTACTAGTCCCACCTCTGTATAGCAACCAACATAATCTCTCAACAATGACCAATGCATGGAAAAAAACATGCTTTAATCTTCTTAATAAAATAAATACAAGTTCATAGACAGGTTTTATGAGAATAATTGTTATATAAACTGTTGTAACTTTATGTGACATGGCTGTGTGTTTCTGCTCTCCTGTGTAGATGCTGGTGGTGTGTCAACCACTGCCACCGTGGCCATCACACTGAAGGAGACCAACGACTTCCCCCCCCAGCTCTTCCCCCTGAGCGGCTCTGTGTGCAGGGACACGGGCCGCGGCAGTTCTGGTCTGGTTGTGACGGCTGTGGATGAAGACTTTCCTCCACACGCTGCACCCTTCAGCTTTGAGATGCCCGACGATGATCTGTCAATCAACTGGACTGTTGTTCAAGTCAACGGTAAGGAGAGAGCTTTAGAGGTGGGGAAGACAGGTGTACCCATGAACAGAGGTGGGAAGTAGTGGAGTACAAATACTTTGTTACTGTACTTAAGTAAATTGTTCTGGTATCAGTACTTTACTCCATTACTTATTTTTCTGACAACCTTTTACTTTTTTGACTCAAATACCTGTACTTTCTACTTCTTACATTTTCAAAACAGGTTTGTTACTTAAGTTTTAATCTGTGTTTGGTGACTTGATCATTATTATTTTGAGTCATTGCGTGCCTATTGATTTTAACACGATCCGTGTATCCATAATTTCTTAGTCTACTCTAAAGAAGAGGGCCCAATGAAAACGTTGTCATTTTGCCGTTGTTCAGCATCGAAACATTCCTTAGCTAACAATGACATTATTGTTCTATTAATATAAAGTGAGGTCAGGTAATCTATAAAACAGCTGGTAGCTATGGGTACTATTTTTACTTAAGTACATTTAGAAACCCATACTTCTTTACTTTTACCTGAGTAAAGAAGTTTAGTCAGTACTTCTACTTGAGTAAAGGATGTGTGTACTTTTGCCATCTCTGCCCATGAATCTTCTAACCTCACATCTTCCTCCTCTCCTCTGCAGATACCCATGCGGTGCTTCAGCCCTCGTGGACCTGGAGGCAGGAGAGTACGTGGTCACAGTGTTTGTGTCGGACTCTGGCAGCCCAGTGCTGAGCGCGTATTCTCAGGTCAATGTGACCGTATGTCGCTGTGACTC